TGAGTAAACAGATGACGTTTCCTAGGTAACAATAATCCCGAGTAAACAGATGAAGTTTCCTAGGTAACAACAATGCTTAGTAAACAGATTACGTTTCCTAGGTAACAACAATGATGAGTAAACAGATGACGTTTCCTAGGTAACAATAATCCCGAGTAAACAGATGAAGTTTCCTAGGTAACAATAATGCCGAATAAACAGATGTTTCCTAGGTAACAACAATTCCGAGTAAAGTGTTCCCTAGGTACACTTGTTACACTTTTTCGTTCCACTTTTTTTCCGAATGACTCTTCCTTATAGACGTATTTACGTTAAAAATTGACAGTGGAACCACGGTTCCGGAGAATCTGACGTAAATACGTCTCTGTAATGTAATGAAATGTAATGTAATAATTCTTATATAAGATAAGTATTACTTGTGATATTCTAAAACGTTTTTACCAGCACAAAATTATCTAGTCTACGACGCACTTCTACAACCGATTCACAGCTCAGCTCTTTCCACAATAACGAAATAGGATTGTTGACGGCAGTAATGTAACACAATAATGCCGAGTAAACAGACGACGTAACAATTAGTTTCTTAGGTAACCTACCAATGCACGCAGGAGTTCATATAAAAGCTGGCATTGTTGTCGGTCCATATTTGCACATTGTTGATATAGATCTTACACATCTTCGTTACGCTTTTTTGCCGAATGACCCTTCCGTATAGACGTATTTACGTCAAAAGAAGACAAGCCTAATTCTCTTACACGAGTTCACAAATGCAGATGAAAATATTAAATGTGATGAACAATAACAATAATAAATAGGAATCCCTAACCTCAAACTTTGTTGGATTGTAAGAGACCACGATGTCCACCGGCAATGATCAACTGAATCAAAATTAAAATGGAGAGAGTGGAGGGCAGTATCACAGATTTTTCAATAATTCTTATATAAGGTACGTAATTGTGATATTCTAAAAGTTTTTACCAGCACAAAATTATCTTGTCTACGACGCACTTCTACAACCGATTCACAGCTCAGCTCTTTCCACAATAACGAAAGCGGATTGTTGACGGCAGTAATGTAACACAACAATGCCGAGTAAACAAATGACGTAACAATTAGTTTCTTAGGTAAGGGAATTTAGTGCAATACGGTTCATTCAGGCAATTATACAGCATGCATAAGAAAGGAGAAATGAGCCTTACGGCATGCTCAGCTAATATTGTTGAGGGCATGTGTTAGAAATTCGAATACTTTTTCTTGCATTGTTATGCACGCAGGAGGTCATATAAAAACTCACCATTGTCAGTCCATATTTACACATTGTTGATGTGGATCTTACACATCTTTGTTACGCTGTTTTTGCCGAATTACCCTTTATAACTTGTGTTGGGTAAGGCCGTGGTCTAGGCATCACGGAGTTTTCCTCTGGGGGCTTCCCCGGTTTCTCCATGGCATCCCAACAATTACTCCATTCACACTCACACAGAAGAAGGCAATGGCAAACTACTTCTGGATCATCTGCCAAGATCGTATATGAACAGGTCCCAGTCCGAGAAAAGGATGGAAGGATCCTGTTCATATGGACCTGTCGTCAGACAGAACACTACAAATAAAAAATAGACGTATTTACGTCAAAAACCACTCTGACAACAATGACTAAGGCTCGTGGACGTGATCAACCAGTGACATCGGAAAGAAAATGACATTCCAGACTTGCTGTTTATATACAATGGAATGTATAATGTAGCTACATGGCGACTTACGAAGCGTTAAACCAGGCCACTCGACCACCAAATGTCCGAATCTTTCAGACAGACCCAAAATTAACAAATACGATACAATTTATAGTTTAAAGTTATTTAGGTGCAAATTATACATTAAGTTAAATCCTTTGCAAGGATACAATTAGTTCATTATTCATGTAACAGTTCTGAATTCAGGTGACCTGCAACAGTTACTGTTGCAGTTCATAATGTGTGTTGTAGTCTTTGATTCTTGACGTCTGTTGCCACAAAGCTCGCGTCTTACTTGTGAAGCATATCACTGCTCTGCGAAGAACACAATGAAGGCAGGCATACATTGTCTTCAATTACAATTTACGACACGCCCAAAACCGCCCGAAGACAGCTGAACCAGAAAATAGATGTTCTGGTGACTATTTGCACACGAAGTTGGGCGTTTATACGTCATTTCCCATGTATTAAATAAATAGGAAGGAAAACAACATTTAAGAGAAAGAATGTCATACGAAATAAATCCTTCTCGCTAGTTACACCAACATCTTAAAGCATTTTTCAAAACAGAAGCAGCTGGGCGGGAGGGGGGGAGGGCAAGGAATACGTGACACATTTCGATCCTTACACAGGCAGTAAACTACATACTTCGTATCAGCATGGCACTTTTGAAGAGGACGCCGGAGACCCTGCCAATTCTACGCAATAAATATGCGTGACAGCTGCAACCAATTCGCCCTAACACATGTGAATAAATGACAGAGAACAGCTAAACTGTTCATAAAGAAGATCAACTACAGCTCTATAACATTAAAGGATGACTGCATAGTGACTCCGGGGAAGACGCAATAGCTAGAAAATGGGGTGAGTAAGAAGTACCAAAAATTGACACGATATTTTTCAATCCTTTTTGTATTCAAGTCAATAATTACAATTAAAAATGAGATATATAAAGAGGCAAAACAATTCCTGGAACAGAACCTTGCACAACTGGCATATTCCCCCAACTGTATGGGGAAGATGCCTCTGCTTGCAAAGAGATCAGACATGTAACACTTGGTACAACGCAAATTGTCAGAACTACAGTCTTCATGCAGCCATTTGCCACAGCTGACACACTGAATCCAGTCACATTTAGGGCCGTTCTTTGCGTAAAAGTACCCATTACAAACAACACAGAAATCATCATCATCATCCAGACTGTCGTCGCTGTCGCTTTTATGCAAGAACTCATCAGCAGAGGAAGTCTCCTCTTTCTTTTCTGTTGTTTCACTGGTTTATTTATCTGATTTTTGTGTTTTGGTGGCCCTTTCTCATTTTTTTGACTTCTGCTCTTTGACGGTTCTCCTTCATGTCTTCGTCGTTCCGCTGCTGTTAATATTTCAGTCCTCTCTTTCTTGCGACCTGTTTGTTTCGGTTTCTTCACCAGTGGAATAGGGCTGATTTTCTGGAAGATGTGTTTCGACTGTCAGCGGAATTAGTTCTAGTGGACGCAACAGACCGCTGGTTTACAGCTGTCTCCTCATCAATGACATTTCCAGCGCTTCCTTCTGTTGCAGTTGGATCGGTTCCGTCCGCAGCACGATCGGATATGGCGAACGCATGACCTGGACTTTTCTGTGGATCGTACGGGTAAATTCCGCAAGCTAAAAATCCTGCACTACCATTTCCAACTGTTGCAGCATGATTCCATGCTGTACTTAATAATCTACCAAACTGGAGTCGTGTTATTTTTCGACCTGGGTTGCTCTGTATTCAGTTGTCTAAAGGTTGCGAATAATGCGTTGTGATCTGGAAGGCACAATAATATGACATTATTCTCTGCAGAGAAGTCAAGAACATTAACGTTAGAACATTGTGACCTGTGACCATCTAAGATGAGCAAAACTTTTCCTGGTTCCTTCCTTGGTATGAAATGGTTTTTCAGCCAGTCCAGTAACACGGCTGTGTTCACGTACGCAGATGTTTCATTCTTTGTCACGTGGGAACCAGGTGGCATTCCATCTTCGAATTCATTCTTTTTCTTCTTTCCTTTAAAAATGCAGTAAGGCGGCAGGAATTTTCCCTCGGCATTACAACAGTCAATCAGACTGAGAATTTCATCTTTTTCGCCGGATGTTACATGATAAACATTTCGACTGCCTTTGGTAGCAACGTCTTTGCCCGGTTCATTATTCATTTGCAGGCCACGTTCGTCCATATTGTGGATCTTACTGGGGTTTGCTAGGAAACCGTTTTCCTGGCAAATCTGTAAAAGCAGTGTAAAGTAGTTGTCTACTTCATGCCTAACCCACGTGTGATAGACACACCTTGTGCTTTCCTCACTCTAAGTTCAGGATGACGTTTCAAAAACAGCTGCATCCAGTCATAACCAGCAAGCCTTGTCTGTTAAACCGATGAGGAATGCAATTTTTCTCAGCAAAACTGTAAGCTAGCTGTCAGAGAGATTTGGTTGTTGGTGGAAAAACCAGCTTCCTCTAGACGCTGTATATATTTTACTAGAGCTTTTTCTTGCTCTCTTCTAAGGCAACCTGAAATTGTCGTAAGTTCAACGTGAAACTGAAATAACATTGGAACTAACCTTTATCAAGTAATCTCAGCAAAGAAATTTATGACATAAAAATATAAAACGAACCTGCAGGACCAGGAGACCCTTTCACGAAATTCTCAGATTCAATGCGTCTCTTCAGGGTTCTATATGGGATCTTATATGTTTTTGACGGATTCCACAATGTCATTTTCACTCAATACGACATCTGGCTGGCTACATGCTGCGAAGATAATATTGTGCCATTTGTTCTCCCCTTTGTCAAAGACAACAACAAAAGTGCTGATTGGAGGTTCAGGGATGCTGCCCTCATGGTTTTTGGTAAGATGTATTTGTAAGGCATAGAATATGGTGGTCCAACCTTTATCTTTCCTTGGGCCAAGAATAATTTTCCCAATGGGGCCAGTGACTAAAAACCTCTTCTATCACTTCTTCTTCTATGACTCTCTGGTCCGCATTCGGTCCATAGTCTCCTCAATTCTCCTCTTCCATTCGGTCCGTCTGTCCGAGGTTTCGAGACATCTTCCTTTTTACGGTGCAAGGTTGTTAGCCTTGCGACCAACCCCAACCTGGAGGATCAGGGTACCTGTCTTAGTCTGACCTCTCCCCCTCGACCAATCTGGCCAGGGAGGGCCTACCAGTAGCTCTTGGGGTCACAGAGGTACTCGAGCCCCACCACCATGACAAGGTGCAGGTGCCATTAACAGTACTTAATTCATAAATGACAATTGTACATGCTGAAATATAAATTTTACTTAAATGTACATAAATTACTATGCACTCAAATTGTATCGTATACTTGCTTGCTTCTATCTGACAGTTGTTACCCGAAAAGCATAACATTTCTCTTGTGATGCTATATAACCAATGCAGCTGGGAAAGTCAGTAGGCAATACAAGTTAGATGATATACGCGTAGCGTAATAGTTCTGTTGCACTTACCAGAGTGTGATATTTGATTCATGTAAATGGCTAGGATATTCCCCTGCTGTGGATTCCTCACCCAATCATTTTGAAATGCAGACACAAATGTAGGTGGAAAGAGCTTGTTGTTTCTGATTTTGATTGAAATTGAAATGTGTCTACAAATTTTAGTAGCACTACCCATTGTCAGACTTCTTAAAAATCTGTTCACCCATTCTTGAGTTGCATATGGACTGGCAGACTAAACTATTTTAATGAATGAACATTAAAACCATTACATATCTGTTTTAGTTTAGAAGGTGAAAGTAAGCAATTCGTAGTCCAGAGACCAGCTGTTTTGACTTGAAGTTTGTGGTTTTGCTCAGTTTGTCTCGGCAAATACTAGTAGTACAGTAAATTAGGGCATGACTCTGCTTCTATCTATATCCTTCATATTTCATTAATTATTATAAAATTTCATTCTGTATAATCTAAGCTTCTGCAAGTGTAATCAAATAAACCATAAATAAATAAATAAATAAATTTACCTGCTTCCCTAATATGTATCTAAATGTAATCCATCCATTCTCAGTCTTCCAACAGTCTCCCTCCTTGATTCTTAAAGCATTTCCGTGTAATTCTAATTACAGGCATTTATATGGCACTTATGGCGTGTACTGAACATCAGTGGTTCTTTTCAGGATCGATTCTTGATGGATTGTATAAACGTATCTTGAAACCACTTGTAAAAGATTTAGTGCCGACACTAATACAGGCTATGCATGACACTAGTGTTGTGGTGAGGGATACAGCAGCTTGGACGTTTGGTCCTGTGCGAGATTATCCCCGATGCAGCCATTAATGGGACATATGTAACCGTCCCTTTGGTTCTACCACACGTCACACTGCCGCTCACTGTTTGTTTGTTTTCGTAGCCTGGTGCTCAGGTGGTTACAGCCTATATTTTCGTGGGGTATGTGTGGATATATTGAAGGGAATTTTTGACGATGGTAAGAGATTGTCGGCGAGTAAGAGCCTTGGACACCCAGGGAATAAATATACATGGAGCAGATGGTGAGGCAGCTTTAGAACGGATTGAGCGAATTCTCTTCTCTCATGTCGCTGTGATATTACGGACAAGCGTACCTTTATTGTTTCTTGAGATACAAAGAGACGAATATATACCTAATTACACTTCTAGTAGGCGGCTCGATGATTCAGCTGTTGCGTTTCATAGAAACGTGTCTTCTTGGTGGGAGGATTAAAACTTGAGAGTGCCAAGAGATTGAGTGCTTCCGCAAATACAGTCGCCCTTTAAAAACTCCTTGCATTACGTGATATGTTATTCAATTTGGCTTAAATGCGGCGATCTGATTCGTTCCTCCACAACGGCGGAAACGCGCCTATAAGCTGTGTTCAAATTCAATTGACCCGTCACAGTAATGCGATGGTCGTAAAACAGTCATCACCCTATAATCTGGAAGGGGTGCATTCCAAGTCTGGGGTGGCTTAAGTATTCTTTGCTTATGTCTGGCTTTTTGTTTATGCCTGGCTCCCTCCGGAGGGAATGTCAAGGAGGGAGACCCCCAAGCGACTGTGTGTGGCCGCATTCTTTCAATTCAATATGTTTAATAGGCCACTATTAATGGATTAATCAAATTTACATGAAGCAAGGCGCACCAAATATCATCCAATTACACCTTCTTCATTTATATAAATCAGTTTAACACGCCAAAGCTTGGTTTACCCCTCATCTCAGGGTTCAGCCCGGTCGGGAATCGAACTACGAACCTGGACTGGCACACATATTTGAAACCACTTCTAGACAGTGTAGTCGCCGGACTGCAGTCAGAACCCAGAGTTGCAGCGAATGTATGTTGGGCCTTTACATGCTTGGCAGATTCAAGCTATGTGCAGGCACAAAGAATTGAGCGTCAGGCATGGCCAGAGACATACTGCTTCCCTAATATGCATCTAAATGCAATCCATCCCTTCTCAGTCTTCCAACAGTCTCCCTCCTCGATTCTTAAAGCATATCCATATAATTCTAATTACATGCATTTATATGGCACTTATGGAGTGTACTGAACTTCGGTGGTTCTTTTCAGGCTCAACTCTTGATGGATTTTATAAACGGACCCAGAAACCTATTGTAAAAGATTCAGTGCCAACACTAATAGAGGCTATGTACGACATTAGTGTTGTGGTGAGGTAGCTTGGACGTTTGGTCTTGTGCGAGATTATCCCCGAGACAGCCATCAGTGGGACTCATTTGGAACCACTTCTGGACATTCTAGTCGCTGGACTGAATTCAGAACCCAGAGTTGCGGCAAATGTGTGTTGGGCGTTTACTGGCTTGGCAGAGGCAAGCTATGGACAGGCAGAAAGAAATAAGCATCAGGTACAGCCAGACACATACTGCTTATCAAAATACTTTGAGTTTATTGTGCAGAGACTACTGAAAACAACAGACAGGCCAGACGGAGCACAGGTAGGTCCTGGGTTTGTTGTTGGAAGTAAGATATTAGCTTGCGGATGTAAGTGGGAACATAACTTTACAAGTAGGCATGCTTGTGACTTAGGGTGGTTTTGCACACGTTTATTTCTGGAGCATGTCACTTGTTCATTATTTTACTCAACATCATACTCTCTATAAAATCTTACTAAATAGATGTACCATTTCTTTTTGCATTAATGTTTAACCTTATGACTGGAAATCATTGACATCTTTAACAGTGTGGGCCATTCTGTACTGTCAGTCAAAATTTCTTATTTAAATTAATGGCGTATTCTTGCGCGTTGAAATGGTAATACGTTCTTCCCTCAAAATATCATTGACAGTGTTGATGACATCGCCCTCATCCAAATAATACGTAATTATATTCTGCCCAGGGAATAGTTTTCAAAGCATAAGGTGTAGATTCAAGAGACTTTGTACACTGTTTTAGGACCAGGAGAGTTGGGTTAAGGCTTTTATGCAGTATTATTATTATTAAGTGTTCTGTCTTACGACAGGTCCATTGCTCTGCCCAACAAGAGCTCTCCAGTTGTCCCTATTCTCGGCTTCTCGCTTTAATTCCTGGAACGTCATCTTCTTTCCTTATTTCCTTGCAGTACAGCTACTTAATGGAATATTTCATAATGTGGCATGGATTAAGAGTAACTAACATGGAAAAAAAAGTATTGTCTGTGCATCGCTTATGCACAGGCTAATCTGCGATCAGTAGCTTATGAAGCTTTGATGGAAATGGTGAAGAACTCTCCACGAGACTGCTATGTAACTGTACAGAAGACCACAAATGGTTATTCTGGAGCGACTGCAACAGGTGCTGCAGATGGAAACACATTCAGAGCCACAGTGACCGAGCGCAGTACAACGACTTGCAGAGTCTCCTCTGTGCAACTTTGCAGGTGAGACAGTGACCATTTGCCTTCATCTACTGCAGAGATTAAGAATGCAGCTCCACCTATAGGTATTCCTTTTAGTGCGATGTTTCCCTTATCTGATATTAGAGATTCTGAAAGTTTTCCATACGTGGGGCCACAGTCACCCTTTCTTATCAACTCAAAGTTCACAAGGTTATGAATGTAGATGCTTTGACAGTTTGTTGAAATGCCACGGTAGTTCATTGAAAATGCTGTTAAATTAGGCTTTCTGTTGCAGACAAGTTCAGATGTTCAATTTTTGTGTAATAAAATCTGTTATTGATAAAGATATTTGATACTGCGTTTGCTTGAGTAATATATGATTGTCATGTTGGTATCAATCTTGCAGAGTGTGCTGAGAAAGGTAACTGTAGAGGATGCGCCCCAAATCTCAGATGCTGGACTCTAAAGGCGAAACAAAAGAATTTCAAGAAGATCTGAATGTAAAAATGACGTACTTACCTTGAGTGGTTGCATTTCCACTCGCAATTCCACTGGGACCTGGGCTGTAACAACAAAACATACATTAGGTAAATATACATTTAACTTATGGTAATAGTAATTAACGTAGAGGTAGCATCAAAGGTTGTCATCACCGATTACCACACTAGGCATGCAAGACTATCGCGGGTTAAATATAAAACTGATCGTTTTCTCACTTGTTTGAACCAAAGATCATCTCTTAAAACATATAAAAATTGTCAAATTAATCATAGATTCGGTTATACAGAGAACTGATACACCCACAGAAATTCCTCATGAAAGTTTGAGAGAATATTTCGTGTTAACATAGGAGGAAAAAAACATGCAATATGAAACCCAAACAGCGAGCAGACTAGGTATATAGCCCATGTAAAAATGTTTATCATGTGAACAATCTAAATGTCTCAAACCAGAAGGTTCTTTTGGCACCGAAGATGAAACTGCATTAAACAAGAGTGTTTGAAGGAAGTTTACACGGAATGGTTACACACATGCACTTGTAGAACAACTGAACCCGATAGGGATGCAAGGTTTGATAATTTTCTGCATTGGATACCAAGCACAAGCTCAGGAATTTCAATTTTCAATAACTTTTCCGCGTCTTATTGTTAATACAACCGTCTTTTTCATGCGGAGCGAAACAACATTAACGACTAAAACTGCAAACAATGGGTTGCTCATGAAATAGTTGTTCGTTACAGAATCTGTGTGATAAATACGTGAAAGCGGAACCCAAAAATGGACCAATGCAAGAAAGAACAGCCGCACTCCGAACAACTGCCGAGGTTAAGAATGAGCAGGAGCAATAGCCGCTCCCCCAAGTGACTACATGGCGTGTAGCGGGACAGCTTTTATATAAAATTGGAAACAAAATAGCCCTTCTGGCCAAATGAGCCAAACAATTTGGACACCACTGCCTTGAGTTATTTTTACTAAAATTAAATGAGGCTGTACGGTTAAAGGGAACTTCCTGCCTGTCAACCAAGAGTGAATCCATTCCAATATTACACGAAACATAGGATAGACAGGAAGACAAAAAAAGAAGAAGAAAAGAAAAGAAAAGAAAATATTGAGGAAATAGAACATAAGAGGGAAAGGACGCAGACATTTGAAAGAGACAAGATCTAAAATTATCAACGTAGAGAGAAAAGAGACGTACACATTTCCTAAGAATCCCTTTCTGTTCCACGTTTCCACGTCATGTCAGACTGAATGGATTCCCGAGTCATAGGTGTGGTTCCTGCGTTAAGAGCCAAGAGGAACACAGACCAGCTGTTATTTCAGCTCATATTCCGAACAAGTTTTCTGTAAGAGCAAGGCGTTCTTTCCGTGAGGAATATTGCTATCGAAGTCTTACGATTCTCCACACGCAACTCAGATATTCATAAAGTAAGTCACTGAATACAATGAATTCTTCTTCGTTTTAATGATAAATATGAGTTTTTATTTGATCGCTTACACATTCTCACAGGTCATGTTATGTCATTTGCCATGTTCATTAAGCTGTGTGGATGTAAAGAATAGCAATTTGGCTCGTCATCAAGTTACACCAGAGTGGTAGGGCGGATTGATGAGTCCCTCCGTCGGCTAGAGTGTGAGTCACGGAGAGGTGCAGGAATATCCTCATCAAATGTGACCACAATATCACATCATGTGGTAAATGATTAGGCACGTAAGGCGAGTCCTAACGTACAACCACAAACAGACCGTTCTTGCATACTTTACCTACTTCCTAAATAAAGAATTATGGTATTGTGGAAGTGTGCATCTGCCTGTCCCTCAAAAACCTGTGAGCCGAATGATTTTCTTTAAATTGTGCGTAATATCTTGTGGCACAACTTCTGAGATGGCAGAAACATGAAGCCCACGAAGTATAGGCCTTGATAAACTAACAGTGCCCTCAAGTAGTCAATACATTCTCGGCCTTTTGTAGAAGCCGAAGCATCATTACCGTGATCACAACATCCATCCCCGGTCCCTACCACGAGCCAGATTAATCCAATCCACACACTTCAACTCCATTTACCGAAGGTCTTCAGAGTACTCGATCCTTCAACTCTATGGGAAAAATGCGGGGTTACTGATTATTAGAACAGGTGGCACACACAGTTACCACTGGGCGTTAAAGGGTTAAAACAGTATTTCCTACATGCAGTACATACTGGCTCCTTCGAATTCCACAGCATATGATGCGTGGGTAAACAGCCTGCTAAAAATCATAGAAGAATTGGAGAAGATCCATTTGAAAAAAGAATCGACATTGCTAAACGCCTTGGATTAGCAAGATCTACTTTAAATTCAATAGTTGCAAAGAAGAAAGAAATCCAAAAACAAACTGACAAGTGTGGTAATTCATTAAAAAAAGGAAAACCGGAAGAAAATCAACTTTCAGTCTTCGGACACGCAGGTTTTAGTTGCAGCGCTACAATATCTAGTAAAGATTATGTCTCTGTATTACTAATGGAGTAAAAACCTCTATAGTTGGACACCCCTATATCCTGGACACCCCTCTATATTGGACACTTTTAATTGGTACCGGCGAATATCCTATAATTTTACGAATCCACAATACCCTACATCTTGGACACCTCTTTATCCTGGAACTTTGTCACCCCTTTTCTTGTAAGTTGGACAAGTTCATGCACTTGGCTTCAGTGCTTTTATGGGAACCGTTTACAGTTGGTATTTTGTTGTTTTGAATTTCTGACTGATGACTGCCTCCTACCTGAGGCTTTGCTTATGGTTGAGGGTGTGAACACATCATTGGAATGCAGTGAAAGTGTATAGTTATTCTGTGCCACTAAATACTATATGTATTCTAACGTTTGTACGTAATTTTGATAGAATGAAGATGTTCTAATTACATCATTCTTGAATACTTCAAACGAATTTTGTTTTTCATATGAAACATGTATATGATAAGACATCTTCAAACTACCATCAAACCTGAAGTGTGTCTCTTTATAACAACGCTTCGTATATATTCACACAAATCTATGTTGCCGCGCTAATACCCGACATAATATGTGGTCCCTGCACGCCGATGTTCGTTGATACAGAATTGTGTACAATTCAGAGCTGAAAAGGCGTAATATGACAACACATTAATTCTGCTTGTAGCTTGAATAATATTAATCGGACGAAAGTGCTACTTTAAACCAAAGAGTATCTTACCCAAATGTACATGTTTATAAAAATTGGAAACATTTCCTTTCAATTTTTTGAACGATCACGGGTGAAATAATATTTCGATTTTAGCGTTCTGTGCCACTAAATACTGTATTTAATTTAACGTTTGTATGTAATTTTGAGAGATTGAAGATGTTCGAGTTCATCATTCTTGAATACTTCAAACGAATTTAGTTTTTCATATGAAACATGTATATGATAAGACATCTTCAAACAACCATCAAACCTCAAGTCTGTCTGTTTATAACAACGCATCGTATATATTCACACACATCTTTGTTGCTGCGATAATAACCGACATAATATGTGGTCCCTTCACGCCGATGTTCGTTGATACAGAATTGTGTGCAATTCAGAGCTGAAAGCTCGTAATATGACGACACATTAATTCTGCTTGTAGCTTGAATAATATTAATTGGACGAAATTGCTACTTTAAACCAAAAAGAATCTTACCCTGATGTACATGTTTATAATAATAGGAAACATTTCAATTCAAATTTATACCATCAATTCTGTCAGTGTATTTATTACCTGTAAAGTACGGGTGAAATAATATTTCGATTTTAGCGTTCTGTGCCACTAAATACTGTATGTATTCTAACGTTTATACGTAATTTTGAGGGAATGAAAATGTTCGAATTTCATCAATCATGAATACTTCAAACGAATTGTGTTTTTCATATGAAACATGTATATGATAAAACATCTTCAAACAATCATCAAACCTCAAGTATCTCTGTTTATACGAGGGTCGCTCATTAAGTAATGCCCCACATTTTTTTTCTCAGCCAATAATGAAGATAGAAAAGTGTACTTTTACATGCTTGAGATTTGATGTTTCCCGCGGTCGTGTACGGAGTTTCAAATGATTCCAACCGATAGCGGAGCTGTAGTGAACTGTTAAAATGGCGTCTGTGAACGACTCTCGTTACAAGCAACGAGCTGTAATTGAATTCCTTGTTGCTGAAAAAGAAACGGTGGTGAACATTCATAAACGTTTGTGTGCTGTGTATGGAAGCTGTGCAGTCGATAGGAGCACCGTTGGTCGCGGGGCTAAGAGAGTTAAAGCTTCAGGAAGTGAAGAAACCGAGCTCCGTGATCTGCCGCGCTCTGGGCGTCCTGCCACAGCCACCACTCCAGACATGTTGAACCGCGCGGATGCCATTATTCGTGAGGATCGGCGCATCACACCTCGACAATTGGCCCAACAGCTTTCAGTCCGCAATGGAAGTGTGATTGCAATTATCCAGGCTCTCGCATATTCGAAGGTGTGCGCAAGATGGGTTCCACGAAGTCTCACAGCAGACCACAGGATTCAAAGGAAAACGATTTCTTCTGAATTGTTGGAGCGTTTTGATGCTGAGGGAGAGGTCTTTCTGTCCGGGATTATTACAGGTGACGAAACCTGGATACACCACTTTGAGTCAGAGACAAAAAGGCAGTCAATGGAGTGGCATCATGAAACATGCATATGATAAGACGTCTTCAAAAAACCATCAAACCTCAAGTCTGTCTGTTTATAACAACGCATCGTATATATTCACATACATCTTTGTTGCTGCGATAATAACCGACATAATATGTGGTCCCTGCACGCCGATGTTCGTTGATACAAAATTGTGTGCAATTCAGAGCTGAAAACGCGTAATGTAACAAAACATTAATGTGCTTGTAGCTTGAATAATATTAATCGGACGAAAGTGATACTTTAAACCAAAGAGTATTTTACCCTAATGTACATGTTTAGAATAATTGGAAACATTTCCTTTCAATTTTGTAAACGATCATTTAAGTCAGTGTTTTTATTACCTGTAAAGTACGGGTGATATAATA